CGTGGGTCACAGCTGCTCTTACTGGTAGAAAGATGATGCGACGTTCCGGTGCAGGCAGAATTTCTTATCGTCTTGCCTGAACAAAGTCCGTGACACCATATATCTATTTTTAATGTGTAAGTCATTACCGCTAAAATAGTGAATCAAAACTAAAATATAATTTGATATCTATTTCCAAAATGCACATTTTGTATTAACAAATCATGTTATATCAAAAAAAATACTTTTATCGCTTTTGATATTTAAAGACGATAAACTTTGCTTTTTACAGTATGTCATTTCGACAAATATTTAAAAAGTTACAACGATGACAAAGTGATAGCGAGGTGTACTATGTAAAAGAAAAAAAATGGGGTATTCGCAGTATCTGATCCTATACGAAGTACTAACAATAAAACTGTGATACAGTTCCTTCTTATTGAATGATGAAAAATATATTATCATAATAGGTATTTATGATTATTGAATTTTAGTGAAAAACTCAGAATTTTACTGTTTTTCATTTTTTTAACGATATTACTTAATGTTACAAAAAAGGTTTACTTAATATAATGACAAATAACCCATTTTTCGCTAGTAAGTACATACTTATTGGAATCCCTGTATTTATTAATCAGCTCGCGATAATATTGGTTTTGTAATTATTCTGCAAAATTCAAAGTAAATAATGTAGATTTTAAAAGGTAAATCACCCCTTTCATCACGCCTATAAGTATTGCGATGTTGTAGCTAAGAACCAAGTTCCCATGTACTTCTATATGGGAATTCATTATATCCGATTTAGCTATTAGGGTACGGAAGCGCATCAAACAAACTCACTTTCGCATCTATAATATTATATTATACTTACTAATGATCCACCCGGGCATTGTACGGGCGAAATTTATTTATCGGGATAAAATATAACCTATGTCACTCGGACTAAATGTATTTAAATAAAGAAAAATGTTATAATAAATAATGTAGCTACCTTCTGATGAATTAATATTTGAAACCGTTTCAGTAGTTTGACAGATTATTTGTTACTAACATACAAATCTTGCCTCTTTATAATATTAGTATAGATAGTTAGGATAAGATAAGTATTTATTTGATGAAAAAGATTTAAAAATAAAGTAAGTAATAGGTTTATTTGATTATATTTGTAAAAGTTACTTAGCATTTGTGCTTAACAGTGATACGTTATTCGGTATTTTTATAACAAAAAAAAATGGAAAATAATTGCCATGATTGCACTACTGGGAGTACTCTTCATTCGAGCTTTACACTACCAATAATAACCCTGTCTGCGCGTCGCGCTTCGCGCTCTTGCATTGCGCAGCCGGGTAAAAAAGGGTCGAACACAAAGTCTTTGACCTGTTAAATGTGAACGCTTTAAAAGAAAACTACAAAGAGAACTATAAATTGATAATAAATGAGACTGCTATGGTGCTCTACCTAACGTTATGAAAATTTTATTATGCGCTTTAGTTTATTCAAATATTATAAACTTTGCTTAGGTGATTGCATAATTATTTAATTTAGTGATCTAAGGCAGTTGCCACCATTGTCCAAAACAAGAGACGTGAGTTACTGCTTTCTTCAACCTGTGTCATAAACGTCATTGATTGGTATTTTATATAGGGTGATTAAAAACATTTGAAGTTAACTTCTGGCATCTACATATTAGTTTCTGTGAATTATGTAGGTATATCAAATTATGAGACTAGGGACTGACACTGAATTTGTGTATATCACAATCTTAGACGTCCGGCATTGACATGACAATGCAGCCACTGCCAATTTTAAATAGTCGACGAATAAAAGTAAATGAATTTTATATTTACTGCTAAACTATTAAAAAAAACATAAACAAAAGATGACTTTTTGAGTAAGTGCTAGTTTACTATAAAATTTACATACATTAGAGATATTTATGTAACGACTTGATTTAACTTCACACATTTTTGCGAAAATTGAGGCCCATCTGTAGCCTTGACACCGCGGGTAAAGTCTTTATATGTCAATAATAATAAATCAATCTTTTAGACCGACGCAAGGTACTTAATAATTCCCGCGATATTAATTCCCTTACTGAAGTAACAAGACTACGGTATATACCGTCTTATAATATTAATTAACTAAAAAGTGTGAAATTAAAAAGGTAAATTTAAAAAATCAAAAAACCCGACTGCTTAATTATACTTCAAATAAAAACTGATAAGAAAAAAACAAGTCCAGTAGTCTATAATTTTGTTAATAAGGAACAAAGCTACTTTAACAGTCAGGACCCACTGTTGAAAAATATTATGTATTCTTGAATATCTAATGGGTCCCGACTGTTAAAGTAGCTTTGTTCCTTATTAACAAAATTATAGACTACTGGACTTGTTTTTTTCTTATCAGTTTTTATTTGAAGTATAATTAAGCAGTCGGGTTTTATATTTTTTAAATTTACCTTTTTTTTTATAACTGGTGATGAAGAGTGGATCACGTACGACAAGAACGTGCGAAAAAGGTCGTGTTCAAAGGCTGGTCAGACTTCACAGACTCTGGCAAAACCCGGGTTAATCGCAACAAGGTAATGCTGTGTGTATGATGGGATTGGAAGGCATTATTCATTATAAGCTGTTACCGTTACGCAGGAAAACCGATTCTGAACTCCACTGCAAACAACGAGAGATGAGATTAAAGTAAGAAGTTCAGAGAAAGCGGTAGGAATAAATCAACAGAAGGGGTATGGTTTTTGATCATATAATGCTAGACCTCGTACATCTTTGGCCACTCAGCAAAAATTAAGAGTTTGACTGGGAGGTGTTAATGCATCCGCCGTATAGTCCTGACCTTGCTGCACCTTCAGGTTTTAGCCTGTACTTCAGAATATTTTAGAGAGTGTCAAGTTAACACCACTCTAGAGGACTGCCAAAACCACTTGTCACGGTTTTTTGATCAGAAGCCCCAAAATAATATGAACATGTCCCTTCATACAAGATGGAAAGTTATCGAACAAAATGGCACCTACATACTTTAGTTAACTGTAAATAAACTTTATTAAATAATGTTTTGAATTTTCATACAAAATGCGAAGAATTATGTATTTCCCCAACTTAATAAAAAATGTGTGTCAGCTCCGACGCACGACCGGAGTTTACACTCTAAAAACGATTGTCTTTGAACAGACACAAAACAAAATCAAGTCCGAAGAAGTCGGTTACAAGTAAAGATACCTCAGGAATCGTCCCATGGTTTCGACTATCATAGGTTCCATGTCACACATTTTATCATCTAACATCAACGATATTTATCGTATATTTTATTATGTATTTCTGGAAACACACAATTTCAAAAATATCACACACTATAGTTTGTCCATTCTATTATTATCTTTTTGACAGATCGACGCCCATGAAATTTCGTATTGTTTTGACGTTGACGTTAAAATGTCATACAAATAATATTGTACTTCATGGACGAGTACCGCCCACTTAGTGATGTGCCAGACATAATGATTACTAAGATTATGCCACAGATTACAAATAATCGGTAGAAATAAATGATTACAGAGTAAGTACAGTACATATTCAGAGCTTACGGATGAACGGTTTGCTCAATACAAAGTAACAAATCAACACTATATGACTTGTGAAAATAATTAAATATTTCACGAGAGAAAAATACGTAGGCCAATTTTCCAAACGATTTTTACTGACAGAGAAAAAGAGAACAAAATTATTTTACAATAAAACGTCACTTTAAACGCGTAATAAAAAAAGTATAAAAAATGAGGTTGATAGTCCCTAAAAGACTACTCAACTTAACGTTTGATAAAATGTTCAAAAAGAATAATTATTAAGATCAGTGAACAAGTGACTTCAAAATGGCGCAATACACCACCACAACATGGTGTTGCCAACACTCAAAAATATATAAACGTAAAAAGTCGAAAGATATAGTTTTTTATAAACCTTTTTTTAAATGAAATTATTAATTATAATCAATAAATCTAATTGTACAGAGTATTAGGATAAACAAACTATAAAAAGTATACTGCTTTTTTTGTTATATATTTAAACATATTATAGATAACTCATACCCAAACACAGAATAAATACGCGTACTCATCACACAAATATTTGTAATAGGTAAAATAATAAATCTAATGAGATTTTGTAATTTCGATACTTATAATCGACTAAACAATGTTCTAGCATAAAATCGATTATAGCTTTAAATCGAACGAGTTATGTGATATGTGGTGTCACTATTTTTACTTCGATCGATCTGTCAAAAAGATAATAATATAATGGACAGACTATAGTCATCATTTTGTAAATATGTATTATAATTCCATCTGTACTGAAAATCACTATTCCAGAGTGCTGGACACTTACCGGCATTTCTCTATATTTTGTTATTTATTTGTTTTCATTAATTTTGCTCCGATTTTATCTATTTTTAGTTTATTTAATTTATTGACATTTGTGACAACTTAATGTTTTTTATCCGTTGCCATGGCTAAAAGTGAAAGGTGCGCAGATAAGGTTGCGCACAAAAACGTAACGAGGTCATTTGTTCAGTAGATTTTACTCCTCACATTTTTCTCATACCGGGCCCCTTATATATGCAAATCGATTCTTAAGGAGTAAACTCCAGAAACATTTCTCATTATGAAACATTCTGCTGAAAAGTGTTCCCTGTCGCCAGCCCTATACCACTACGCCGTAATGCATTCGGCACTCGCTGCGCCTCGGCGCCGCTCGGGCTCGATCGGTACGCGCTCGTCTTTCCTCGGAAAGCTCTTTCAAATTCGGAACTCAGTCATGACATATCTCTTTTGCATTAAATCACACTTCTCGACTGTATCCCCTCACCATAAAGTCAAATATCGAACGAAGAAACAAAAATGTAACGAGGTCATTTGTTCAGTAGATTTTACTCCTCACATTTTTCTCATACCGGGCCCCTTATATATGCAAATCGATTCTTAAGGAGTAAACTCCAAAAAGTAAATTTGTACACACCTGGAACTTCTGCGGTATTTGAAGGCCCAGTATCTTGTCCAGCATTTGGCGTGCTAATGAATGCGCGTTCAGTGCTTTAGCTTGCTTAGCCAAGCAGAGATATAAACAACTTAGTATAAGTTAACGATATTATTTCATATAAAATGCCAGTGTTGGTCGAAAAAGTTAGTAGTCTGTGTAGACACGCTTAGGAGGTAATAGTGGAAAGCAATTCTAAAAATTCAGAATTAATAAATTATATAGTTAAACGTCTTTTTAAACAGTATAACATGTGCCAATTACTGTCTGACCACCAACTTGTTCGACTATACTTAAATATAAATTGTTCAGATAGAATTTACTTAATGGTAGCATCAAGAAGCTTATACTCAAAATGGAGCCCGCACAACGAACAAAAAAGTGAATACATACCAAAAAATTACGTCACTGTTATTTGCCATCTCTTTCATTAGGATGACAATGCTTTTGATGAATGTGAATAAATCGGGTGGGAAAAACTTCTAAGATATATTTTAATATTTACAGCCAAGAAGTAAATTTTGAAAATCAGCCAAAACGATAATTTTTTATGGTTGAATATTTATTTTATTTTAATTATTTATTTTTAAAGTGAATATCCATTTAAATATTCTGTGAATATTTCAGGCGTCTACCTTTTGACTATATTAATAGAGCAAAAAACCGCAAAAAAAAATAACACCCGTTGTGTGGCGGCTCCCTTAAATATTTATTTTATTTAAATAAAGCGGTTCATCAAATAGGGATTCGAACATAAGGATCTCGATGGCTCAAGTGGTAAGCGGTTTCGTCTAAGATCGTGAAAGTTCCTTAATTTCGAAGATCACAGACCGAAGCCGCTATTTAATTATGACCAAATCCTCTATTATATGGGATAAGTGACCAAAAATTAATTATCTATTACTCCTCCGTACTTTGAAAGGCACATTAAGTTGTTGGTTCAGCTTACATCTGCAGTGTTAGTACCCACCAATCTGCACTGGGTCCGCATTGTAAGTCATGGCCTAATCTCCCTATGGCATCCAGAAGGAAGGTCTGTGCCCCTGTAGTCAGGACATTAATAGGCTGATAAAGATGATGAAGTCATAGGATTACTTTAAACTGACTTTCATCTACCTACATTTATGAGAACAAAATGCTTATGCAAAACAAACTTTTGCCTCGTTTCATCTTACAGTTTAATGATAGATTAAATCAAAAGGCCTTTTTGATTTGATGTAAGAGTTTTGTGTTATGTAATTCAAAATCTAATTGCTATAACTCACTCCTAAAAATCTTATTATAAACTTTTGCGTTAATGCTTTGAAGACATTTGGATCATTTGATGCGCTATTTACATAAACAAATTATTTGGATATTATTTATTTACTTTAACAATAAGTGTAATTCACAAACATGGTATACTAATGAATTAGAACTAATAAGTCAATTATAAGTTATAGATAATTTTTCAAAGATGGTTGTGGTAATGCATCCATTTTGAGTCTTGATTCATTACCAAGCATGATCTTTGAACACATTACGAACAAAGTTGGGAATATTTCGTAGGATGCTAGCCCCAGATATCAAATTAACAGCTTTGATATGCTCACATCTCATATCGGCATCTTGAGAACCTAAAACAATTTGTTTTTACATATAAAACAAATAATCTTTAGATTCTTCTTTCTTTGAGTATTAAATTAATGTAATAAAATGTAGGGTATGATAGTTTAATAAGTTTAGTTAATAAGTTTGTATCAAAAAATATTTTTTGCAAGCTTTTAGCTGATTTTGATTATTGACTGTACTTGCTTTGTCATTGAATTTACATATGTATACCAAATTTCAGTCAATCCAACTACTAAAAATACAAAATGAACTTGCAAGATTTGACCCAAAATCGACAACGAACAGAAAATTAAATCATAACTTGTAAAATTAACTATAAATATTCTTAATGATAAACCCATGATAATACATCATTTTGTTTTCTTACCGATGTGTTACAACATAGGCATAATTTGTATGCACAATATGGTACAGCATTTTTGAGCAAGAAGCCAGGCCTTTCAGGGTTATAATCTTCAGATTTAAAGTTTTCACTATCAATCCTGGCATATATTTAAAACGTCCGATTTATTTCTATCTTGGCTAACCAAGCACTTCTTCTGCTTGGGTCAGTGGGGAAACTGTAAAAGAACGGCGTAATGCTCAAAAACAAATGTCAGACTTTGCGTATGTTTAAAGCAAGCAAGTATAACATTAAATGAGCTTGTTATTTGATTAGTAACTATGACCATACTATATTACTGTCGTGTTTTTCATTAGCAATTTGCAAAACCTTCCGTAAATAGCTTGTATTGAACGTAAGAATGGTCACCCTAGTATGTCATGTTGAAATTTGTAAGGTTAGATACTAGTTAAGCTTTTCTGTACTTACACCTATCGAACAACAAAAATGAAAACTTTCGTCTAATGCCAAATACATAGACTATTTTAAATACTTTTATCTCATAAGAAAATTTCCAAATAGACGTGAAACATGTCTTTGTTAAAAAAAAAGAACTTATCGTGTAATTATATCGATTTAATAAAATACCTGTGGAACTTAACGCTTGATCCTGGACGCCACACATTTCTGCAACCACGTACTATACAACTCAATTTGATTATCACCAAAATACGGCTTAAATAATAAATAAAACCAAAGGAAACTTTCGAAGTGTATGATAATCGCATGACAGCAACCACTACAAAGTTTGACATATTGCTGTCAGTGTCTATAATACGTTGTCAGAATTACCATAACTGAGGAAATATAACAAAACAATAATGTAAATGAATGAATAAAAGTAGCTTATTGAAAGACAAATTGTGTTACGAATGAAGCAAAGCTAGATTTTTTATTATTTTCGTATTTTAAACCTTGTTGATGCAAAAAAATTACAGCAATGTATCGCGTACAGAGAACAAATGATATTATTTCTGAAAATGAAACTTTTATATAGCTACTCCGTCTAAAGAGTAAATGAGATAACAAACAACAGTGACGTCATTCAAGGTCAATTTCTTGGCATTCACTTTTTTGTTCGTTGTGCAGGCTCCATTTTGAGTATAAGCTTCTTGGGTAGCATGGTTTGTTTTTTTCTTAAAATCATTGCAAATTGATTAGTTTTTTTTTTATTTATTTAAGTAATTTATTTTTGAACATTAAGTAAATATACATGTTGTGTACAAATCTGCGAAAAAGGATACAATTTGGAAACGCCCGGCGGCGTTTTCTCTTCAACCAAGGCCAGTACGTATCTCGCAGCGTTCAGCAACGAATCGGGCTGACTGAGAGAGAACGGTTCATGCACGCAGCGGTGTACGGCGTCGTATGCGTGGTATATGCGCGCCAGTCGCTCGTTGTGGCGATACGACAGAATGTGAGTCTCCCGTTCCCTATATCATTATCAATAACTGTAATATTGAATCTTACAAAGTAGTAAAGTAATAATGTGTATATGTTACCTCTTCACGCTAAAACCGCTAAACCAATAATGATAAAATTTTGAAATTAGATAAGACATAAGATAGCTTTTATCCTAAAAATCGTCATTTACGGGAGTAAACAAAAGTTTTAATGGGAAACAACTTTTTTCAAAGAAAGTCGTAGGCACCCACTAGTGCTAAATAAATTACATGACCGGGAGCAAAAAAAATTTGTTAGGTACTAGCTTTCAAGCGCGGATGGTGAAATCCTATTAACGGACAGGGCATATTCGGAAACACGTTAATGATGTGTGAATATGGCAGTGAATTTTTATTCTGAATTTGCACGTTTATGCAAGGTACTTATATAATTTCGTAAAAGAACTTATGTATGTTTTACTTGATATCGTGCATATCAGCTCTCTCCAAGCATTGCATTGCGAGCAAGTGATGGAGGTATCCGGCGTCGCTGAACCTCTCCTCGGCGACTGCATTGCCCACTAGTATGGTGAAGACGTGGATCGCAGTTTCGATCTCACCTGCCATGTGGTAAGCTGAAAATTTTAATTTGGCATAATCAAAGTTTTTTTTTGAGTGTGTATGCCGTTGGTCGCAGATGAGCTTTATAGCGTCACCGGGTTTGGTGACGGCGAGATCCTAAGGGGACCTCAAGCTGAGAATTAGCGAGTACCTCTAGAGGTATTCCAGGCGGATGGCATCTCCCCACGGGGGGAGTCTCCTCTCCGACTGGAGCCTCTAGACCACTCGAACCTGAGGGAATCGGCTCAACTAGAGGGCGTCTCTGAGACTCGAACCTCGGGTCTTGTTAGCCGTTGTCGTGGGGGGCGGGGAGAAATGCCCAGGTACGTACATGTACCTGGTATAGCGTGTCGTGTGTAGACCGCACTCTTATTCTACGGGTTAATAATAAAAGTAAGTTCGAATCGGAGAGATCCATGGTACGGGGCAAGCTTTATGAGTAGGTTGAGCGAAAAACCAAGAAAAGCTCTTGCTGCTTTATTAATAAATGCGAAATAAGCTTAGACTAGTTACGCCGCGTTTTGTTCATATCTCTCAAATGCCAATTGTGATTCAATAAACAGAGACAAAACATGGGTAATAAATCCAAGCTTATTCTTCGTTTACTAATAAAGGGGTTGTTGTATATATTATAATAGAATCGGTCATTTCAAAAACACAAAATATTACAGTTTTTCAGGAATTAATAAAAACTGGTTCATGCTCAAATAATTGAGTTTAATAGGACTTTTTTACGCATAATTTAGTATTTGAGTTGTAAAAAAATCAAATGTCCAAGAACTTTTACTGTTCATAAATAATAATAATGAAAAAATCATGAAAATCCAAAACATCAATTATAGTAATTACGTTTTTTTATTGCAGATTATGGCCCAATCTCCCTATTCCATCCATGGGGAAGGCCTGTGCCCCAGCAATGGGGACTAATGTCCCCATTAGCCTATTAATATAGGCTAATGATGATGATTGCAGATTATTGACGATCGCACACAAAAATTAACTAATTAACAAAAAAAGATGTTTAGTGATAATTTGATACTTAAATCAATCCTTCAATATATTCCTTGGTTATGTTATGTATTTATTATTTGAATTATACTGAAATGTATGTCGAACGAGCGAATGTTTTTTTGTTGTTTTGGGACTTCTTTCCGTGAGATCCATTTGAAAAACATGTTTTTAAATTTGGCCATCATTTATTCCAATGTATCTTTAGTTTTCAGCTCTACAATTTTTAAATGGAGTTAGAAACCAAATCGATGTTTCCAAATCGACACCAAAATTAAGGCCATTTGGTAAAAAATAATGACCAATATGAGAAAATACTGCATAACTACTGTTTTTTTGAACACTTCAAAATTTAATCAGATATAACTACACCCGCCATCTAAGTAGTGCAGTATTTTGTACAAAAACCTCTTAAGTCACTGACCACTGACTTATGTTGTTTAAGCAAAGAACCTCTTTTACACGGTATTATTTAAACAGGAACGAATGTATTGACTTACGTGATTTCCGCAAAAAATTCTAAGTTAAATCTTAAGAAAATCTCATCTGACCATTATGCTACCGCGGCCCTGGTAGCCGTGTCGAATTTTCTCTTTCTATAACTCACACCAATAAATTCGGGGGGGGGGGGGGGGGGGGGTCAAGGGACAAAATTCATTGCATCGCCATTTTCGATTCGATTCTTGACTGGCGTGAGTTATATTTAGTGTATGGACATCAGTTTTTGAGCATTAATATTTTAATAATTTCTTGTTTTACCTTTTTGAGCCTCTATGAATTTGTTTTGCTGCGCCATGTGATGCGCGTACGGCAGGTACACCTCTCGCTTACACTCAGAATGTTCACGCGCAAGCGAAAATGCCCGCGACCATTCTCCAGATGACACCGCTAACTGGGCGACTCTTCTGTAAAGAGACTACTGTGTAGTGAGATTTAAACTTGGCGGTTGTTTAGTTACCGAGTTTTTATTTCAATGAAAACCTATTGAAACTGCGCGCGCATATAGATTGCGTTTACTGCGCCACCACTTCTTCATAACTACCATTAAGTTTTAATCACACTTTGATGTACTTCTCCGACCTGCGAGCGAGTTATACCCATCATTGTATACAGAGTTAGAATTCTTATCCATATAAATTTTATCAATGTGAGTGTGTGTCTATCTGTTACCTCTTCACGCATTGAACCGTTTTAGATGACATTTGGAACAGAGATATTTTGAGCACAGGGAAAGAACAAAGAATAAGATTTTTATTCCAGAAATCATCTTTGAAGGAGGTGAAAACCATCATTATAAATATTATATACAATATTTCTATGCAGACTAAACCGCGATCACATAGTGAAAGTATATGGTTCACCTGTAGTGACGTACATGGTCGCGAAGTATGTTCATTTTGCGTGGCGGTTGTGAAGTTAGCAACGTGCGCATAGTTTGGTCAGGTTTCAGGACAGCCCCACACCCACCCTCTCGGCACGCACTAGGGGGACCGCGGAACTCATAGTGCGTGTCGGGTGACGAGGAAGAAGTATTGTCTGGTTTTTACTTGCCCTGTTCAGGGCGTAGGTAGGGCCCTGTTCACTTCAGCGAGCTCCTGGGCTGGCTGAAGGGGACAGGGAGGAGTCCCACATACCTTCTTCTCGCTCCCCCAGTGGTTGAAGGATGCGTAAGGCATTACCCAGACACAAAAAAAGGTTTCAGGACAGCCCGCGTGCAACTTAATTACATTTAGAGCGCTGCCACTTGCACTTGTTAGTACAAGTGGCAGCGCTCATCACACATTCACAACCGTCATTAGGTTTGAAACACACTTTATATAATGTAAGTATACGAGCCAGTATGACCACGTACACCTTTGGATATTAATAGATGATAGTTGTTTGTAGTAAGCAGGGAAAAAGTCACCAAAGTTAAATATGTATATTCATTGCAGCCAAACGGTAATACAGATAAAATAGTTAGTAGGTGATTCTTTGCTTGACTGTTTCAAATGCGCGCTCTTAACGTACTCGTGTAATTAATATATAATATCAATAAAATTTACTATTATGACGCGCGACTCAAAGAAGTCGCTATGTCGGCTCAGTATGTGCGGTGATGAGACCGCACAGGAGTTTAAAAATTTACCGGAATCTCCCCGGCGGTAGTATACCGCTCGGCCCATGTCCAACTTGCAGACGAGTTATATCCATCAATGTATTTGGTACCTATATAATGCGAGTATATAGTTCACCTGTAATCACCCAGGCGGCAGTATATGTCTGCGGCGATAGCAGGCTCACCGGCCATTATTAAGGCCTCGATCACGTGCCGCAGGGATTCACACGACCCCTTGTCTAATAGACGGGCGAGTTATACCATTGTATACGTATGTAGTATATAATGCGAGTATATGGTTCACCTGTGATCTCCCAGGCGACAGTAGACGTCTGCGACGTTAGCAGGCTCACCGGCCATCACTAGAGCCTTAGTCACGTGCCGCAGGAATTCATCTGACCCCTTGTCTGATAGCCGGCAAGTAATATCAATGTATGTTGTATATAATGCGCGTATATGATTCACCTGTAATCTTCCAGGCGGCTGTAGACGTCTGCGGCGGTGGCAGGCTCGCTGGCCATCACTAGAACCTCCGCCACGTGCCGCAGAGATTCACTCGACACCTTTTCTAATAGACGGGCGGGTTATATCAATGTATTTAGTATTAAATGCGAGTATATGGTTCACCTGTAATCTCCCAGGTGGCAGTAGACGTCTGCGGCGGTGGCCGGTACACCGGCCATTACGAGGGCCTCGGTCACGTGCCGCAGGGATTCATCTGACCCCTTGTCTAATAGACGGGCAAGTTATATCAATATATCTAGTATTTATTGCGAGTACATAGTTCACCTGTAATCTCCCAAGCGGCAGTAGACGTCTGCGTCGGTGGCAGTCTCACCGGCCATTACTAGGGCCTCGGTCACGTGCCGCAGGGATTCACTCGACCCCTTGTCTGATAGACGGGCGAGGTATATCAATGTATGTAGTATATAATGCGAGTATATGGTTCACCTATAATCTCCCAGGCGGCAGTAGACGTCTGTGGCGGTGGCAGGCACAGCGGCCATTACGAGGGCCTCGGTCACGGTCCGCAGGGATTCACTCGACCCCTTTTCTAATAGACGGGCGAGATATATCAATGAATGTATAATATAATGCGAGTATATGGTTCACCTGTAATCTCCCAGGCGGCAGTAGACGTCTGCGGCGGTGGCGGGCTCGCCGGCCATCACTAGAGCCTCCGCAACGTGCCGCAGGGATTCACTAGACCCCTTGTCTAACTTGCGGGCTAGCTCTATCAACCTAATATGAAAAATAATTAATTTATAAGTAAACACAGCAATTTTCTTTATAAAAACTTCAGAAAATGTCTCCACTCCACTAGAAATTGTGTAAAAGTTGGGCAATATTAAAATCCACGTAGTGTGTCGAGAATGGGCAAATCTTTTTTAAAAACATGTAAGAGTAAGTTCAAATGTGACTCAAGTAAATAAAAAACATCAAGGCAAGCGAAAAAAAAATTGAGTGTAGATGAATAGAGACGCGAAAAATGGATCGATTGTGTGAGGCAAACGATAATTTGATAGTAAATAGGGAAGAATTGAAGAAATACAACCCCGATCTCCAACAAATTGTTGAGAATATTATACCTATTAATTAATAACAGAGATACAGAGTGCTGCACCAGCCAGCCTTACCTTAAGGGACTCCAGTCACACATGTAATTTATCTGAAGTTATCTTTTGGCCATAGAATAAAAAGTAGCTAAGTGATTCGGACCTGTGTACCGAAGGTTTCATAAAAACATATAGGTAGGTGAGCGAATAGGACTTCATATAGGTTAATAATTGCAAATGAATAAATATTTTTGTGGTGTAACTACGAATTAAATCTCTTTTAATTTCCCCTTTGCCTTTGTGTGTTTATGAAATCATTTATTGCCATATTACACTATTCTGTACCAGTCGGAAATACCCTTTTCCGTCATTTAACAAATTATAGTAAGCAAGTGATTCTAAGGCGCTGGACACACAGAAAAGAAGTAAGATGCAGCCAGGGCGCCACCGCGTCCTCTTCATACAAAATGTATAGAAGCGTCGTGACGCGACGCAAAACATAAAGAAAAGACAGTGGCAGCCTGGACACTTCTATAAATTTTGTTGAAAGAGATAATATAACGTTGCTGTTCTGCTGAAACCCAGTAAATCGATAAAATTTGATTATCAGAATCGACTCAGTTTTTCGTCTGCGAAAATCCATTAATGTGTTTCTATTAATAGGTTAATGTGACGTTAATCAAAGACAACAAAAAACAATGGATTAATGAAAACTTATAATAGACTTTCATAGACGAAAAACTGAGTCATTTACCAACTCATTTCGATTGAATGGGTTTTCGCAGTACAAAGACTATAATCACTCTGCGCTTACGTCTTTTCTGTGTTCGCCTAAAAGGGTTCCATATTTCTTTTTGCTGTATAGAATTCTAAAAACAAATAAATAAATATAATTTTAATATTTCCAACACTTACAGCAATTAGCCTAGCTCCAAAGGCATAGATAGGATAGAATACTATACTGTGTACATATATAGGTATTTTTATATACAAATACATATTAAACATCCATGACTGGAGTGCTAATGCTCCTATTCATCACGCAAACATCTGCCCCCAGCGTGATTCGAACCTGGGACCTCTCGAGTAGGCGACACCTGGTAACGCAGCGTCCATACCACTCAGTCACGGTGGTCATCATACATAAACAAATCTCACATGTCATCTCAAATCAGTCGAAAACAATTAAGGAGCTGGCGAACAAAACGGCATAATTGCATCGAATGAAATTTTACAGGAACAGTAAAAAACTGAATGACACCTATATTGAGCTTTTGGTGTGATTTTTAATTTAGTAATTTTAACACTATTTTAGGCGGTTTTGATTGACATGAGTTGAAATTCAAATTCAACTAGCCCAAAAATTCCCCGCGCTCCGGTTTGTAAATATAAAGTATTAGATGGTCAAAACCATATGCGTAATTACACCGTTTTGTTCGCCAGTTCCTCAATTAATCTCACATGTCCTTCTTGCCGCTCTCGGCCATTAGTTGCGCTGCCTTCTGTACGTCACCGGCTGCCAGGTACATTTCCGCGGCGGCGCGCGGTTCGTTCACGTGCCGAGCCCATTCGGCCCTACGGCGAGCTAGGGCAGCTAGGCCTTCGCCCTCACCCACGTACTCCTATAACAATATCAATCATAATCGCTGCCATAAATAGTGTAAAGGTAAAAGATTCAACGACTTACAAATAACATAGAAGCATAACTCTCTAACAAATGCTCCTAATGGTTCCAAACTCATACCACTAATTTCAATACTAACGTGGCATGCACACAGACAAAATATTTTGACAAATTAAATATCTGCAAATGAATTCGACTATTCATTAATTGTTAATTAATAATACGTTACCGATATTATTCATGGAAATCCAACGAATGCCACGATCGGCAGTTTTTTCGCCCCGCACACTTGATCAGTTTGTTTTGTGTGAAACCACTTTTGCGCAGTTCGTATTCCATATTATTTCTAATTCGTTAAAAGTTCTAAGTAATCTAAGGTGCGAAGAATTAATATTCGTATGGAAGTACGCCCGTTCGAATATACATTTTTGGCGTCCATTAGATGGTAGGTTTTGCTGTCAGTTGAATGGCAGTGAAGATTATGTAACGACTGATGGATAACCTGTCGTCTAATCCCGTCACTGGTGACTTTTAAGTTGCCATTAGTGTTTATCATCAATGATTGATGGAATTAACTGACGGCTGAGTATGCGCATAAATCAGGACATTAACACGGCACTTTTCTAAATATTGTATATGACGACTCGAATTTAAAATAAACCAGTTTTAAACCTCTCGACCTTTTAATCAGACTGGCGACCAGGGACCAGTAACAGGTTTGAAATGTCAGGAAAATGTAAAATGAGTGATCGACGTACAAGTTGTGGAAGGATCGCGTACGCATTCGCGTATCGGCCGCGGTACGCCCATACGTCGCCCACTATCACGGCGCGCTTCTAACATCATGCGTGACCACTGACCTGCGCCTTGTTGAACATACGCAGGTCGACGTACAAGTTGAGTGCGCGCTCGTCCCGGCCCACGCTGTGGAAGGAGCGCCGCCGCGTCCGCATATCGACCACGGTACGCCCACACCTCGCCCACTATCATGGCGCGAGTCTAACATCATGCGTGACCACTGACCTGCGCCTCCTCGTTGAACATACACAGTTCGACGTACAAGTTGAGCGCCCGCTCGTCCCGGCCCACGCTATAGAAGAAGCACGCCACGTCCGCGTATCGGCCGCGGTACGCCCACACCTTGCCCACTATCGCGGCGAGCATCTTACATCATGCGTGAACACTGACCTGCGCCTTGTTGAACATACGCAGGTCGACGTACAAGTTGAGCGCGCGCTCGTTCCGGCCCACGTTGTGGAAGGTGCGCCGCCGCGTCCGCGTATCGGCCGCGGTACGCCCACACCTCGCCCACTATCATGGCGCGCGTCTAACATCATGCGTGACCACTGACCTGCGCCTCCTCGTTGAACATACACAGTTCGACGTACAAGTTGAGCGCCCGCTCGTCCCGGCCCACGCTGTAGAAGAAGCACGCCACGTCCGCGTATCGGCCGCGGTACGCCCACACCTTGCCCACTATCGCGGCGAGCATCTTACATCATGCGTGAACACTGACCTGCGCCTTGTTGAACATACGCAGGTCGACGTACAAGTTGAGCGCGCGCTCGTTCCGGCCCACGTTGTGGAAGGTGCGCCGCCGCGTCCGCGTATCGGCCGCGGTACGCCCACACCTCGCCCACTATCATGGCGCGCGTCTAACATCATGCGTGACCACTGACCTGCGCCTCCTCGTTGAACATACACAGTTCGACGTACAAGTTGAGCGCCCGCTCGTCCCGGCCCACGCTGTAGAAGAAGCACGCCACGTCCGCGTATCGGCCGCGGTACGCCCACACCTTGCCCACTATCGCGGCGAGCATCTTACATCATGCGTGAACACTGACCTGCGCCTTGTTGAACATACGCAGGTCGACGTACAAGTTGAGCGCCCGATCGTCCCGGCCCGCGCTGTGGAAGGAGCGCGCCGCTTCCGCGTATCGGCCGCGGTACGCCCACACCTCGCCCACTATCACGTTGCGCTTCTCGCCCGCCTCGAAACGCTCCTAATACAAAATTATTAAATGTTTCGACACTGAACATTGGAAAGGAATGTGATTGGAATCTGACTTGCGACCAATCCCTACAGAATTGCTTGGCAAGATTAGACATTCAAAATGTACTGTGCATGTAAACACAAAAATTGGGAACTTTAACGTTTTATGACAAAAAAAATAATTTATTTACAAATTCATTAGAGCACATACATTTTTGTGTAAATGTTGTAAGCGGAATTCCAAACAAAAAAAATGTATTTCATTTCATATACTACCATACAATATAACTTTTTTCATATTAATAAGAGAGACAAACAATAAACGCAATTAAAAAAATTACCAAAACACAACAAAAAAAACGCTCAATATATAGCAAAGCGTAGTAAGTACGCTACACAATAGCCGGGTCAGAAATTAACGGAATGTCGGAGCTTATATACTATATAAGCTACTCGAATCCGACATTCCGTATACTATCGCGCAACCATTCAGTTGAGAGCTACTTATATGATAAAGATAATATGGCAGAGGAGTGCGTATTTGACGACAAACTGCTAACATTAAATAACTTACTCAATTTTTCGTGGTTTAAAGCGATTCACTTAGAGCATTGATCTCGGATTTGAATTTATAAATTAACGGTTTTTGATACTTTAATGAAACTTAAATAATATGACAGTTTTCCGCATCCAACTAGATTTTAAACCTCGTAAATACATCATACATAAAAAGAAAACTTATTTATGTAGCGTGTTAATGAAATAAAAGTAACCTTAAACCAATATTATTTATTTTAAGGAAGAACTCGATGGCGCAGGTTGTCTGCGCGTTCGTTTAAAAGATAATAATGTTATAATGCTGCCAGGTTTTAGAATTATGGAATCATTACGGGTTATTGCTAATGGGCTGACATTACCTTACAAACCCATAGTAAAAAATTATAGCAGTAACTTAACGAAAATCGTGGTATTAGTAATTTATGCATCTGTTGTATAATTCGGGTATTAAAACACAAATGTGAGTTATGATATATGTATCAAATGAGTATTTTATTAATCTAATTATAAACAGTTGCATACAAGACTATCTACACCCATGATATAAAAAGATTCCAAAAGCATGCGGCTATCTAAGAACTTAAAATTCATGTTAAGTTTCAGCGCTGTGGTAGTGAAAGGCGTGTGAATTACAAAGTTTTTACAAGATTTTAAAACTTGTGGCTGTCTGATAAGTAAGCCCATGGCGCAGAAGGGATTTAAAAAGCGAAGGATTGTTATTATGAAATTGAAAAGAAGATGAGAGACCGCTAGCTATCTCTCTCTCTCTTATGACGCATGGCATCCAATGGCATCACATCGAAATAGTAAGATGCTTACGGTTGCCAATGCGCATGCGCGATTAGAGAGAGAAAGCTAGCGGAAAAAGAAGATGAGAGCTTTCTCTTATATAGGGTTTTTCAACAAGAACTTTGTTTTCTAAAACAAAAAAATTAGATGAAGATGATTAAATTTTTTATTGAATTACAAAGAGTTCGGCAATTATGAATGAAAAAATATATCTTGCAAATGTCCACCACGAGCACGCTGACAGATGTCGATTCTTTCAAAGTTTCAAAGTTTTTAATCACTGTTTGGCAAAATTGCGGGACTATTTCGTTTATCACATCAAGGATTTTGAGTTTTAAGGCTGCAATCGATTCGATTGTCCCCGTATACACTCTGTCCTTAAGAGCCCTTTCACATTTTTTGCAATAAATCGCAATTTTAGAGCGCCTCGTTTGCCCCCTTAGAAGAGATTTTGACTACTTCCAATAGAAGTAAACAGTAGATTTATTCTTCCTATTGAAAATTAATGTAGAATATTTTCAAATACTATTTCCATTTTTTTGTACTGATCGTTCTACAGCAGCTAGTTTACGGAAAAAACGATAATATGCACAACTTAAAACGCCTTAATCTCACAATAATGTTCAATAAATTAGATCAAATTAATTACTATGACACCAGAATGTATATGTTTGTTTATGTTGCAACATAATGTATTAGAATCTTGATTTTCCATCTCATTAATTATTAAAAAAACATCTAACCTCCGTGAGTTTCCCCAAAAAATTACGCAGGTTTACCTCGTATTTTCATATTGAATTAAATAGAATTACTATCAAAAACTGTTATTAAACTAATCTACAATTATTGAACTACTGAAATATGTATATAATTTTATAATAATTTCATTAATTATTATTTTATAAGACTCTGAACATCACCCGTAAAATGCAATATATAGTAGTGCAAATCTAGACGCCGTTCAGTACGGCGCCAGCGCCTTTGGAGGTCGGACCTGTGTCGCTTTGTACCGCACGCGTTCCGAGCGATGCTACGAGTGCATTCATCGTAAAACTGGCTGGATATACTACGACCGCAAAAGTTTAATCGTTGACTGTATGTAAGTTTCCACAACCATATTAAATTTTATTATTATAAGTACCTACCTAGTTATTAATTATCGTTGCTTCAACTAATATTTTTGTTATAAGCTTTTACAATGGGGCGTAAAATTCCTGCTTACTATTGTGTCAAAAAAAAAACGAAAGAATGATGCAGCCATAAAGAAAGCTTGTGAAGCAAGGTGAATATGCTTATAACATTTCGTTTTTTATTTTTGTGGTGTCAATGGGTGTTTTAATTGTATAAAAATGGTGATTTGTCCGGACTTTTCAAGTATCATTGGTATAAAATTGTAATCAGTCAAGGGTACTGTACTCTAATGGCCAACGATTTTAACTTACTGACTTAATGGGTATGTCAATCTATCCTTATGTCTATAAAAAAAGCTAGAGTGCGGTAAAATTTTGCATTTCGATCAAGTATAACCAGTATAAGCTCGTGGGCCGCCAAAGTACATATTGGCCTAACATAATAATATATTTAGAATAGAAATCCACAGTTCTATGTATTTTAGATGGAAACAAAATTTTAATGGCAACCCCGAAAATATCGATACTATACTGACCATAAGTTCAATGGATTCGATTGCAACGGAAACTGTAAGTTTTTCATGTTGTTATTGGAAGTAGACAATGAAAAGAGAAATTGAAATTATAATAATAAATTTCATTATATAGGAAAAAAATGCTCTTGAATTGGAAATCGAAGCCGAGGAACAAAAGGAAGCGTCAAACTCTAATTTAAATATTTTATTTGTTTTATACTGACTTAATGGGTATGTCAATCTATCCTTATGTCTATAAAAAAAGCTAGAGTGCGGTAAAATTTTGCATTTCGATCAAGTATAACCAGTATAAGCTCGTGGGCCGCCAAAGTACATATTGGCCTAACATAATAATATATTTAGAATAGAAATCCACAGTTCTATGTATTTTAGATGGAAACAAAATTTTAATGGCAACCCCGAAAATATTGATACTATACCGACCATAAGTTCAATGGATTCGATTACAACGGAAACTGTAAGTTTTTCATGTTGTTATTGGAAGTAGACAATGAAAAGAGAAATTGAAATTATAATAATAAATTTCATTATATAGGAAAAAAATGCTCTTGGATTGGAAATCGAAGCCGAGGAACAAAAGGAAGAGTCAAACTCTAATTTAAATATTTTATTTGTTTTATACTGACTTAATGGATATTTCACTACTACACTAGGTACATGGTTTACAATGTTAGCAGTTTGGTTTTATGTTTTAAACTTAAACTAATGGGATGCATTTCCAGAGCAAAAAAGTTCATTTTTAATATTTTATTATTATTTTATGCTCCATAAGTTCAATTGACAGTAACTTGCTGATTTATGTACCATATCTGTGTCTGGATTGGAAATGTATTTCCAGTATTGCCTATATCTGTTTATATGCGTAGATAGTCGATAAAAGCAGTATTGTAGTCAATTAGATAATCTGTTTTCAGGAGGATTATATGGTTGATGGAGGACGTGTAAAGATACCAGGACATTTTGCACTTGGAAACACTAGACTGGGTGTTGGACCGTCAAATATCAATATCACCTTAGCTGAAATAAGAACTTATAGAATTGACAATGAGCGAGGAAATTTCAGATGTTTGTTATTATAAGTATTTTGTTTATTATCGTCATACTTTTATTAAAATTAAATGTATTGTGGCCCTTTGTCACCGTAATAATCCACAAAGAATAATATATTATTATAGATAACTATAATATAACCTTCATTGTAATTTACGAAAAACAAAACATCAATCAACAGTTTCAAAAAGAGACAATCATTGTACGTGATACGTTATACTACCAGACTGCTTCCGGTTATGATAGCATCAGTGATGATAATCTTTGATAACACTGATGAGTAATTAATTGTATAGAGAATAGCAGATTTTATTGAATGTGCTTTACAGCAGCTAGTGATGGAGGAGGTGTGAACTTTCCCAGCTCCGTTTTCATATTATTTATCCTGAAATTACCATACGAGAACTCGCAGCAAAAATTTCATGAGTTAGGTGTGTAAGAGATGAGTTCCTATGAAAGTTAAATGCTTTTGATGAGTTTTGTTTAAATGAATGGAAATTACACGACTAAAAAAAACATGCTTATTATTTTTTTATCAAATACTCTTACAGATATATTGAAAATACAGAGTGCGAAAACTTTTTTATTAAATGAACTACGAAGGCAAAGACAAAACTACACTTAGTACAGTTTTACTGATATTGGATTATTACCAAACATCAATCATCATTCAAAAAGTCAATACTAAAAATACAAGTAAATAAAATATTATTTCTCATTGCCACTCGAAAAAGGGATTTCATTCAGCGATAACAGTGAACAAACTTTTCATTTAATTACTTAGTGAATAAAAAAAATTTGAACAAACAGAACTTATGCAAAACATACATATAAAGTTACAATAATTAGTAATAATCATAATTAATCTTTATTGTCATTTCCAAAACGCAACCAATGGGTACTATAAATATATTATTTATTTTCTCACAATAGTAAAAAAACTTAATCCTTGTATCCTTTGCTCCACTCAGGATTCCTTATCTTATGATCTTAGCACTTCAAATTAACTTTATTTTATATTTGCATTTATTGTATAATCAATAATTGCATATTAAAGTATCAATTTGGTAAAGCGCGCTATACTGAACTTCGGCCGCGTCGATGTCTCGCTCGTGCGACTCGGACACGCTCGCGGTCATATTTACCTAAACTAGAGCGGCGCAATTTTGTAAAAGGACTCTTAACATAACCCCACAAAAAATAATCTAGTGGTGTTAAAACACATGATCTGGCTGGCCACTTAACAGCTGAGTTTAGTGAAATTATGTGATCGGGAAATTTGGTTTGCAATAAATTGATCGTATCATTGGCTGTGTGACATGTGACGCCGTCCTGTTGAAACCACATATCAGTGATATGCACGTCATCAATAATAGGCCAAAATTCGTCATTTGGTGGTTCTGGATAACCCCAATTGTTGAGAACGTCGCAGAATTGACAAATTTGGATCTGCCTCAACACTGTGGCTCACGGCTGCGATGTTTTCAGTTGAACGACTCGGTCGAACACGCGTTGATGTTGGCACATTTTATATCGAGCCTGTCGACTCAAATTTACCGACCAAATTCTTAATAGCGGTCTCAGAAGGACGATAATGTTGTCCGAAAATATCACGAATTTGACAAAAAGTAACTGTAACAGAACCACTATTTTCATAGTGGATTTTAATTATTTTAATTCGATTTTTAAGCGAAATTCAATTCATTGTAACAATTGCCAATGCATCTTCTACGACAACGTCAAAAAACTAAATGTGAAAACTATCATATTGTTGGTGTAGCCACAATTCAAAAACAAAGTTCTTGTTGAACAACCCTATATTAGAGGGACACTTCCACTTGTAGTAGAGCCTATATCTCCCCTACTCTATACTTATACCTCTGTGATTATAATGGGTCTTTTTTCAGTATGACATTGGATGTTTTAGTATTAAACAAAGAGTACAGGAACTCGGGTAAAACAATATATTGCAGATATGAAACATAGGCTTGAAAACAAGTCTGCAGTGTGAAAATATGCATTAGTGGGACTAAACCATTACATTAGATTTGATAATCCACATATCCTTGCAACAACGATTCAATCCTAGGATGATACGCGAGGCTATTGAGATTAAAAAACATCAAAATTTCAATAGAGATCTAATAGAATAGCTTGGGATCCAATTAATTCAACAGATAAAATCCCAACCCCGAACACACACTGCAAGATCATTATTTCTTATACTTTACATGATTATACTATAAACTTTTGCCAACTTATGAGTACTTACCTGCAAGTGATCGATAAGAGTGAGACAGATAATATTCTCGCTGCGTTGGAAGGCTTTTCTGGCTACTTCGAAGGACAATTCTTCGAGTGCAGCCATGCCCAATCGCTCCCAGTCCAATGGAGTAACTCCCAAACTTGCCACGGCGTAAGCTTCACTGTGTCAAAAAACTGGTTTTTAAATGATACTGCTATGGTAAAATTTACCACTAAAGACCAAAAGAATGCAACCTTATACACATACCCATGCAAATACTGAAAATAAATGTTATTAGACTGTTTATGTATAAGTAGTCCAATTACATATTCTCAGTATTTGAAGAACTTCAATAAAGCTAAGTGTAAATAATAAATTTTGACAACAGCTATGGTCAAATTTGCATGCAATATAAACGCACAAACATTTTGCGAGTTGTGAATAATTCAATTATTCTTATTAAATAACAACAATGGCAAGATCTGCTTTTTCAAAGACATAATGATGACCAATAAGTGTGATACTCACTTAAACAGTTTGTGCTGAATATATTGGTGAACTGCGTGAGACAATGGTACGTTTATAGTCTGCATAGAGTTAGCTTGCAAACAAAACACTCTTCCACCCTGAAAGTTACACAAAATAGAAACTAGTATTATTCTCTTAGTAGAAATAAACGTAAGTCAGTATTGTGTAATTTAACACAAACATATTTAGAAGACTACACATACTACAACTTAGGAAAATCCTAATTCCATGAAATAGACTACCATAATTTTACAGGTCATATTCGTAAACACGTTTTTTTTAGATCAAGTTAATAATCTACCCTGCATTTAAGTAGTCTTAATACATGCAATAACCATTTTTCTATGTTTGTTTCTTAGGTTTTCACGCACATCACTCATTAAATAAAACTAGTTTAAACGGGATAATGCACGAAACTTTATTTATTTATTGACGTTTCGTAGCCTTTCCAGGCTTCGTCGTCAGAATAAAACTTTTGTTTAATTTGTCGAGCTACCTTCGAAAGACTTTTATTGAGCGTTTGGTTATTTCATCGTTCGATTTTTAAGTTTTATTGTCTATGTATGAATTTATTATTTAATTTACTTAATAAAGTATTTTATTTAAAATTCTTGTTTGTAATTTTGCGTTTATTTATTTGACCCTAACTACCGTAAACTACCACCGGTTCCAAAATTGGGAGACCTTCCTGAGAAGAACCGGCGAAACAAACTCAAGAGAGGCTTTCTATCTCCTTCTTATGTTAAATTATGCAAACAAAAAGAACTAATAGTATCTGATGGTCTTGCAGTATGTGCTCGGGGTTGGGATTTTATCTCCTGTATAATAGGTTCCCAAGCTGGTGGTATATACCAACCATCTTCCCTATTGAAATTTGGATATTTTTTAATCTCAATAGCCTCGCGCATCATTCGAGGAACGAAACGCCGCTCAGCTGCAAGGATCTGTGGTCTATCAAATCTAATGTAGTGGTTTGGTCCCCCTAATGCATGTTCACACACTGCAGATTTATTTTCGCGCCTATGTTTCATATCTGCGATATGTTCTTTTACGCGAGTTCCTATACTCCTCTTTGTTTGACCGATGTAGGAGAGCCCACAGTCGCATTCAAGTTGGTAGACACCAGCAACTTGAAAGGGTATATTGCACTTGACTGGTCGTAGAAACTGGTTGATCTTCTTTGGCGGCTTGAAGTATGTATTGATTGAAGCACGCTTCAGAATCCTCCCAATCTTGTCAGTGACTCCTTTCATGTAAGGTAGTATAGCAGGTTGTCGGTCGACTGTGCTAGGTTTGGCGCGACTGTGACGGCGACGTGGTACATTCAGGTTATTATCCTTCAGTACTTGCTCGACATGCTGAAGTTCAGCTGCCAGGTGTTGTTCGTCACAGACACCCCGTGCTCTCTGAAACAAAGAGTTTCCTACGGCAGTTAATTGTTTCGGGTGATGGTGTGAGTCACCATTGAGGTACCTATCAGTATGAGTCACTTTACGATACACAGTATGGCTTAAACTTTGGTCAGGATTAATGGTGACTCACACCATCACCCGAAACAATTAACTGCCGTAGGAAACTCTTTGTTTCAGAGAGCACGGGGTGTCTGTGACGAACAACACCTGGCAGCTGAACTTCAGCATGTCGAGCAAGTACTGAAGGATAATAACCTGAATGTACCACGTCGCCGTCACAGTCGCGCCAAACCTAGCACAGTCGACCGACAACCTGCTATACTAACTTACATGAAAGGAGTCACTGACAAGATTGGGAGGATTCTGAAGCGTGCTTCAATCAATACATACTTCAAGCCGCCAAAGAAGATCAACCAGTTTCTACGACCAGTCAAGTGCAATATACCCTTTCAAGTTGCTGGTGTCTACAAACTTGAATGCGACTGTGGGCTCTCCTACATCGGTCAAACAAAGAGGAGTATAGGGACTCGCGTAAAAGAACATATCGCAGATATGAAACATAGGCGCGAAAATAAATCTGCAGTGTGTGAACATGCATTAGGGGGACCAAACCACTACATTAGATTTGATAGACCACAGATCCTTGCAGCTGAGCGGCGTTTCGTTCCTCGAATGATGCGCGAGGCTATTGAGATTAAAAAATATCCAAATTTCAATAGGGAAGATGGTTGGTATATACCACCAGCTTGGGAACCTATTATACAGGAGATAAAATCCCAACCCCGAGCACATACTGCAAGACCATCAGATACTATTAGTTCTTTTTGTTTGCATAATTTAACATAAGAAGGAGATAGAAAGCCTCTCTTGAGTTTGTTTCGCCGGTTCTTCTCAGGAAGGTCTCCCAATTTTGGAACCGGTGGTAGTTTACGGTAGTTAGGGTCAAATAAATAAACGCAAAATTACAAACAAGAATTTTAAATAAAATACTTTATTAAGTAAATTAAATAATAAATTCATACATAGACAATAAAACTTAAAAATCGAACGATGAAATAACCAAACGCTCAATAAAAGTCTTTCGAAGGTAGCTCGACAAATTAAACAAAAGTTTTATTCTGACGACGAAGCCTGGAAAGGCTACGAAACGTCAATAAATAAATAAAGTTTCGTGCATTATCCCGTTTAAACTAGTTTTATTTAATTTTTCTATGTTTAAAATATGCCCTGAATAAATATTATGTGAGTACTCACCTGAAATCCGACCACCGAGCCTGTCAGAGGTTGGGTAGCCGGTGGAAACTGCCCAGCTTTGATTGAGAGAAACCCGCCGCCTGATAAGGCAAGAAGTTCATCGCACCACGAGTTAAACGATACCGATGACACGTTCTCCTCCTACCAAAACCGGAATATGGTAAAATTAATAGAAACACCTCCACCTTGTATTGAGAGAAACCCGCCGCCTGATAAGGCAAGAAGTTCATCACACCACGAGTTGAACGATACCGATGACACGTTCTCCTCCTACCAAAAGCGGAATATGGTAAAATTAATAGAAACACCCCCCGCTTTAATTGAGAGAAACCCGCCGCCAGAGGCGGCTCTAGTCCTTGTGGCACCAGTGTGCCACCAGTACCCTGGCGCCCCCTAGTGGGAGCGGGGTCAAAATGGAATATTTAGAATTATATTTTCATAAAAAAATCGGATGCAAATTACAACAATAAAAATCACAACATTGTAGTTCTTTTAATTTAAAACTATAATATCTTACAGGACACTCGTACACACAAATATACACACAAACTAATGTTTTTACGAAAATAATACTTTTCGTGCTTTTACATTAGCGAAATCTTTAACAATGTCACTGACTTCAATTTTGATTTCATGTTCAATACTTATTAAGGATAAATTTTTCAATCTACTTTGCGACCATGTTGATCTTAGATAGTTTTTAATTATTTTTAGTTTAGAAAATGACCTTTTGCTGTGTGCTACCGTGACTGGAAGTGTGAGGTAAATCCTCAGTGCTGTGGACAGATTTGGGAATACTGAAATCAATTTATTCGTAAACAAGTAATTTAAAAATATCCAACGGCGTAGTGGAATCATCAATAAACATCATAAATCGATTTCATTAAAGAACTCGAAATTTTTCACATCTGAGAGCCAGCTTGCCAAAGTTTATTTTCTAAATTAGAAATTGTATCCGAGTCCAATCCTTCCATTGTGTCAATTTTTGAAGAAATGAAAAAACTACATTATTTTGATTGAGAAGTTCGAACCGTTTGTCGAACTTAGTAATTGCGGTGTCTAATAAATAGTAGTAAAAAATGACTTTAAAATGTATTTTCGCGTCTGTGATCGGTTCATCCTCCGCCTCATAATTAAAAACCCTTTTACGAGCGCGAGGGCGCGCAGTTGTGGGAAATTCTGCTATTGCCTCGACTTCTTCCGCTAGTTTTCGCGCTGTTAAGGAGCTTTTCAAAAGCGCAGTCATTACGGAATCCAGACAAACTTATTTTTGCATTATCAATCTGACGTCTGACTTTTGAAGTGCCTTGCTAACTATATTTATCTAGCTTAAAATTTCAAACCAAATAAGCAGAGAGCAGATGAATTTAAACGATTTAATTTTTCCCAGTAATGAATTTGCCATATATCTTGACTCCGCATCTTTGCTCCTATCAGAATATATAGTAAACAAGGCATCATACACTTTTCCCAGTTCAAAACGTAGAGCTTTTACTGCTTCAACCCTGCTCTCCCAACGAGTATTTGAGAGTGGTTTTAAACTTAAAGTTGGCAAATCTTTAGCAAGTATTTGCCACCGTGCTGTTGACGCAAAAAAAACCTAAATTTCTTGCACAATTGAAAAGAAATTTACTATTTCTAATGAACTTTTAGCAGCGTCAATCACTACCAAATTTAGGCTATGTGCCGCACATGGTACATAAAATGCGCTGGGGTTTATATCTAAAATTCGTTTTTGAAGACCTACATTTTCCCTTTCACGTTTGCACCATTATCGTAACCCTTGACCACGCATATCTTGTATGTCAATTTTGTTCGAGATTAAAAAATCTAACAAAAATTGAGTTAAACGCCAGTAGTGTCTGTAATAGGAAAAAAACCCAAAAATTGTTCTTTTACTTCAGCCTTGTTGTTGCTTGCATTTAAAAGAACGAACCGTACGACAATTGATATTTGTTCTTCGTGTGCAACATCTGGAGTGCAATCTAAAATAATTGAAATATTTGGATTGTTTCAATTCCAAAACAATAGTATTTTTATTCTTTCTCCTAATAATTGTATTAGTTCATTCTGAATATTATGGCCAAGATAATGAGTTAGGCGTGACTCAGTTTTTTGAATAAGGGCAATGTGTTCCGCAAGCACATTATCAAAATTAGAGGCATATTTAACCAGCTTTAAAAAGTTACGATTATCAGAGTGGAAATTTTTTTCAGATCGAAAAGCAAGACATTATAAAACAAAATTGGCGGCACTCGTACAGAAAGCCTATGAAAATTACCGCCACAGCATTCGTTGCTATTTGAATTTGATTTTTTAGTCATTCTAATACAGCCGAGTTAGCAATGATGGTCGGCGTGTTTTCAAACGAATCAAAAACGGTGCCGGCTCGCGCCTTAGGTAGTGATACTTAAATATAATCTTTAATTATCTGTTTTAAGCCTGATTTCACGTTGAAATAAAAGTAATTGTGTAGGTAGGTAAAAACGCAACTTGTTGTGGCGCGCTTGCTTTGCTACCGCGCGCCCGCCGTGGCAGCATGCGCCGAAAGGCCGGCAGGGTCTTTGAGTGTGCCGGCCCGCCGGTTCCGTGAGCGACGACGCACGCATCTTTAGAGATGCCGTATTAGAGTAGAGCGCCGGCGCCCCCTTAGACCCGGCGCCGTGTGCACCGCACACCCTGCACTATAGGTAAAGCCGCCTCTGCCCGCCGCCTGATAAGGCAAGAAGTTCATCGCACCACGAGTTGAACGATACCGACGACACGTTCTTCTCCTACCAAAACCGGAATATAGTAAAGTTAATAGAAACACCCTCAGCTTTAATTGAGAGAAACCCGTCGCCTGATAAGGCAAGAAGTTCATCGCACCACGAGTTGAACGATACCGATGACACGTTCTCCTCCTACCAAGAGAAACACCTAAGTATGTACTCGCGTCTATAGTATAAATGTCATCTTAATGCTGCAGAAGACTATAAATAGTCTACTAATACTACTAATCAGTTTTACCTTCACCATCAATGGCACAACGATATAAATTTTTAATCGATACGCATTGCAAATGTAAAAAGTAATCATATTAAAGATCATATTATTAGTATTTATTGATCAGTAGGGATTTGGAACGATTTGTAGTTGACTCCTCCTTCAATAATGTAATGTATGTTAAAACAAACCGACCTAAAATTAATTTTATTCAGATTTCCAATTTTTTTTAAAGTTCAATTTAAATAATGTTACCGTGTAAAGCAGATCACCGGTCGGTAGACTGTAAACGCGGCAGACGGACGACTCATCGACGACAGCGAGACGACTTCGCAACGCGCTAACGTCCAGGCAACGAACACTCGCAGGAGTCTGTAGTATCATTTTGGATTCTCCGTCGCAAGGTTCCACTTGCCAAATCTAAATTCAAGGTATGTTTCTATAGAAAATTTTGTTAGAAAAAATTCCAAGCGGACCAGTCAGCAGACGGGACTCGAACCCGCACCCTTCGCTATCCGGGCGAATGCACTGATCATTATGCTACCGCGGCCCAAATGCCCGCTTCAAATTTTCTCCAACCTTTCTTAGGCTGCAGGGTAGCGCCATCTCTATGCATAATAGGTAACTCACAATGTCAAATGAATACCATTAAAAGTTTTAAACATTTGAAAGAAGATATAGCAATTAAACCTAGTTATTTTTGTATTTTATAAGCAGACTGCTAGATGTTTAAATCTCAAGAAAATTTTGTTAGAAAAATTTCCATGCAGACCAGGCAGCACCCGGGACTCGAACCAGCACCCTTTGCTATCCGGGTGAATGCACTGACCATTATGTTGCCGTTGCCCTAATGGCCGCGTCGAATTGTCTCTAACCTTTCTTAGGCTGCCAGGCAGTGCCATCTCTTCGCATTGTAGATAACCCACAATGTCAAATGAATACCTTTACAAGTTTTAAACATTTGAAAGAAGAAATAGCAATTAAAGTTATTATTTTTATTTTATAAGCATTTAACTGCTAGATGTTTAAATCTAAAGAATATTTTGTTAGAAAACAGACCAGGCAGCAGACGGGACTGGAACCCGCACCCTTCGCTATCCGGGCGAATGCATTGACCATTATGTTACCGCGGCCGTGATGGCCGTGTGTAACAGAGGAATACCTCATAAAATAATAATATAACTAGAAACACTGAGATAAAACCATGTGAACATTTTTATGGTTGCTTCTCATTTCTTTCGAATGACAAAAAATGCATTGAAGAATATAAATCTTTGATTAATGAGGGTTTTCAAATAAATTGAAAGTGTAACAATGTGGTAGTGAAAACCTTATAAGTAAATGTGAAAGTTTGTATGTTTATCACTCAATCACGCAAAAACTACTGAACGCCTAGCTTGAGACATAGGACTTTTTATCCCAGAAAAATGTTAGTTTCCTGTGGGATTATCCAGAAACTAAAGTTACAGCAGACGAAGGCGCAGGTGGCCACTTATATTTAATACATAAAAGTAGTAATTAAATGTCACTGTAACTTACTTGTCCATTTAAAAGCCCTAGTAAAAGAACCTCTTCAAAGTATAATGTAGTAACCTTCACGTAACGTATTGCAGTTGGGACTGTCCATGACTTTGGTAGTCGTCTACCAATCATGACTAATTTGGTATCCTAAAAAAGGCAATTTTATTACAAAAAAAATCATTGTATGAGAAAAACTACTACTTAATTGTATTGATGATAAAATGAAATTACATTACTGACTTGACAAAGTAACAAAGCATCGCTTGTAGCGACCAACAACGAACATTCAGTTTTTTGAGGTAGTTTTTCTTTGACCCGATATAACATTCCCTCTACATCACCTTGTTCATAAACAACTACTCGTTCAGGCAACTGGACCTATAAATCGAAAAAAGAAATATTTATTTTAAAAACGTTATTTATTTGTTTAACCTACTAATAAAAGCACAATTAAGTTACCGCAAGTCTGTGTTTGTATATTGCAATCTTCTGTACTCTGTCATGACATTTTATTCTAACTTTATTTCCTGTTGTAAGGTGTTGTATTATGACGTCAGTCATATTCTCCCTGTAGGCATATCGTTCGCGGTACAAACCATGAACTGTACTGAACACCACTTGATAACACCATAGTGTGCCATCTTGACAAGCCACAGCCTGTAATGAAAAAAATAAACTGAAATTAAATGCGAAGAAAACAACTAAAAACCATTTTTGCTTACATTAGGAACTTAGTCCTTTACAATAAAATCAAAGCAACAACTGTCCCATTTAGCTAGATTGGTTTCAATAGTAGGAAAATACTATAATTGAATAATAAGTGGGACGAAATTTAAGGTGCACAAAACCACCAACACTTTACACACATAATACTCATGCAGATTTTATTTTTTTGTTGTCATTATCAAATAAAATATTTTATACCAGAGTGCTGACAGAAGGCGATGGTGCAATCGACCACACCCATTCTTGCTGAGTGTTAGTGATAGGAACTCCCTCGGATGTCAATACGGCCCAGCCGCCAGCACCGCCCACCAGCACCAATGCCCCCAAAAGTGATATTGACAATGCAGCAATGCCTTTGAAACACATTACACCTTAGATTGGAACAAGAAGAAATACAATGAAATATTTTTTGAATATTGCAAGCATCTATCTGTTTCCATTTTCAGTATAGAGCATAAATGGCAAAGCAAGCAAGTTAAAGAACACATTTGTTATATGGGAGCCCCTTTATATATTTATTTTATTCTATTTTTGTATTTTTTGTTATAGCAGTAACAAAAATATATCATCTGAGAAATATTGACTGGGTTTCTTTTAGTAAATGATTGGTGTGCATGAAAAGAGCATTAATAATAAGTTTATATGATACAATACATTACCTATATTTCTTTCCTTGTAAACTTGTTGACCCTGTAGATTATAGAAAGACAACATTTCATTCCAGTCCGAAACTAAAAGAGTAGATTTAGAGAAAGTCACTGCCCACACAGCTGCATCTCTCGTTATTCTTTGTATTTCGTCTCCACCCTACGTAAGTAAAAATTTTTGTAAAAATAGTAAGTTTTTGTAAGCTGCAAGTTCAAGACTAACATCAAAGATATCTTACCTTATCTCTTACACTTACTCCACCAGAAGCTAAACCTATGGCTAAGTGCTGCCCATTTGATGACCAAGCACAGCTGGTGATACGACCTGAAACCCTATATTTCTGCACTGCTTTAACATCAGCAGACCAAAAGGCAAAGTCAGATATTGCACAAGACGCCAAATGCATTGTCACAGGGTTGTATGCTAAGCATTGTATAGCTTCACCGTGCCTGTACAGATAAAAGACACCAATAATATAAGTCCTAACACAAAACAGTCAGATGAATATAAATTACTTTTGTAATAAAAACAAAAGTTATATATTACAATATAGCTTAATTATATATTCGCTTTACTTAATTAGTACAGAAATAAGCAATAAAGAAAGTTTAAGTACATTTAAAAGGTTATTCGCAATAGCAAAATACACAAATTTTTAAATAAAACCATTTGTAAATAATAAATACTGTGCATTTCCAAGATAAAGATATAATGAAAAAACTATTTGGATGTGACAATAGGTTTGTATTGATGTTTACTTACGAATATTTTAATACACCTTCCATTTTGGATGTCCAAATTATAACATTTCTATCAGCACTTCCACTTGCAAATTTTTTGCCATCACTACAGTAAGCAACAGCATGCACTGTCCCTTTGTGCGCTTGGAGAAGCTGGACAAGAGATCCATCATGAGGGTTGTATACCATAACCTTCTCTCCAGCACCCACTACTAACTGTGTACCATCTGGGCTGAAGCATATTGTGTGGACACTGTAAATGATGACAATGATCATTGAAGAGCATATTTTATCATAAATGTATTTGTTACTGCAATAATTTAACATAACAAAACACTAAACAAAAAAGAATGAATACTGTAGTGCCCGATTTCGAGGAATAACGTATTTTCAAATGGGCCTCCCTGACCCACTTACGATTTTAATCCTTAAAAACATACCTGGAAAATTCAACTTTATCAGCTTCATGAATTTTATTAACCCACTTCGGTACGGTCCTCATTGTCACAATTAGGGTTATTTAAGAATTTTGTAATAAAGAACGTCGTTTCTATACCTTATCAACATTATTATATTTCATTATTCCAAGATTATTCCCTAAAACTTTGGTTGACAACGGTATCTCGAAAAACGTAAACAAACAACGAATGAAGTGTAAAATTTTTAATTCTTTGAAGGGACGGTAATAGATATTATAAGGATTTACACAATTAATATTATTATTATATGAAATACTGAAATAACTTTCGGTTTACTATTTAATAATTGTATTTTTAATTATTTTTTAAATGAATTCTGTGTTCAGTTGGGCTTGGGTATATGTGTTCTGTGAGTTGGGCGGTCAACAGTGTTGCCTGGTCCGATTTTCAAAAATCGGGATGCGTTATAGATAAAAACAGTAGATGTATGGAAAGAGCTACTTCTAGCTAGCTTCTGCCGCCCTTCAAAGCTATTTTTTTTAGACTATAACATTTATTTTATAATTATGAAGGTTATCTACATTATTAATGACGAAAAATGCAACTCAACATGCAATTTAAAAAAGAAAATCGTATTCTAAAAGAGCAGGAGATTCATGTAGAAAAACAGTAGAACAGGAGGAATTCCAGATAAACAGGAGATCTCCTGTAAAATCTGGAGACCTGGCGGTCAAAGACATACATAGGGATGGCGATCTGAGATCGATTAATCTAAGAATCGTTTTTTGAGCCAAAAAGACCGATTTTATAAATACGATAGGCAGTACTGAATCGATCAGTGAATCGATATTCCACCCTTGAAAATCGACATTCGATTTTATTTTATTTGTTTGGTATAAACCAAAAAAATATTTACAATTACTTGAATGTACCTGTTATAAGAGTGCTGCTGGTACCCTTTAGGTTAATTATTAAAAAACTCGCGAGATGGCTGTATGTCTAAATTCCTTCGCCCCTCTTTAATAAAAAAAGTTACGTTTGTTTGTAATCTTTGACTAGAGATATTTTTTATCATCGAATTACCGGATTTTATCTTGTTTTTTATACAAGATTACTTATATATATTACATTTATTTTTTTATTTATCTTTAAAAAAGTTTCTACAACGGTTTTTTGTGAAATTTAACACAATAAAATATAGATACAATCTTAAGGCCAATTACAGAAACTCATTATGTACACATTAGATACTAACGGCGTTATTATATGTCAGTAGTTATTACATTTAATTCAATATAATTTAATTTTAAAAATTGTATAAAAATCATATAATTTACTAACATAAGTAAATAATAAAATGAAAATTAAGATTGGGCTAAACATAACAAAAAGACAAAAAAAAAGAAAAACACTGAATATCCATAATACCCTTTTATTATAGAATTCTATGCCTGGTAACGAGATGGCGAACGCCGGCGCCGCAAACCGGGCACTACGTACTTGAATGATGTTGTCATTGTAGGCCTACATGGCGCTGAGAATAAAATCAAACAAATAAATTAAATTGAAATTGAAACAAATGTCAGGGAAAATAATTTAATAATAATAAAATAAATAATAACAAAAAACTTATTTGGGTCTTGCGGTTATAATTTCAAATAATGTCGTTTTAAAAGCAGCTCTGGACAAAGAGAACAGGTTGATATCAGAGAAGTACCTGTTGTACGTATTTGGCAACCTTACCGTCATATCATTAACCTCGTAATTTGTACGCACAGATGGTACATGAAAAAGTTGCGTGTGACGTGTTCTTTTTGTAGGAGCCTTTAAGGAAACTATTCTATTTATAAACTCGGTGCAGTCCAGTACTCCAGAACATACATCAAACAAAGTCATTATGTCCCGCATGCGTCGCCTGTCACCAAGAGTAATGAGACCGTGTATGCTACATGACTCCTCATAACCATTGGATTCATTTTTCACTCTAAAGTTTAGATATTTTACGAATTTCATTTGTATCCGTTCAATGGCGTGTTCGTGTGTTATGTACTGTGGATTCCACACGGTGCTACAGTACTCAAGAGTACTTTGAACATAAGCATAATATAATACTTTCATGCAAGCAGCGTCCTTGAAATCTTTCGTAACTCTGAAAATAAATCCTAAATTTTTATAAGCCCTGGTGGTTATATCGTTAAAATGATTGGCGTATATTAATTTTGAATCCAACGTTATCACTATACTCCGACTTTTTATTAGCTGCAGTAAAATGACGTTTCAAAATGTCATTCTGTAAAATAATGTTGACAGCCTAATTTCAATAGGGATGTGCTTAGGTTCACAGAAAATTTAATCGTTCCATAAGTAACTCATAATGATAGTACTTAATTCTATTTATTATTCACATAAATAAAAGGGTGTATAAAGTGCAACCGAGTAACTTTGGGTCAGAAACGTATAAAAATATGTGTTTGAAGTGAAATCTACAGAATCAAACATTTAAGTTCCAAAAACAAGTGAATGCGTCAACAAGGTGGCTGAAGTCTTGAGAATATCCGTCCACACTGTTTATTCCGTTTTAAAGGAGCACAAGGAGAACGACTGTGAATCACTAAAACCTCCCGAAAACCCTGGCCCAAAAATTACATTTAAAGAAAAACTTGATGATTTCACATTCACCGCTATTAGACGAATTGTACATCAGTTCTGTCATAGAAATGAAGTACTGACCATCGCAAAGGTTAGTTTACCTGTCATCACTAATCTTATTATTATTCATGATATTTTTTTAAGCATTTAACTGCAAGATGTTTAAATCTAAAGAAAAGTTTACTGGAAAAAAGCGTCCGCGTGTATTTTTTTCTAGTAAACTTTTCTTTAGATTTAAACATCTAGCAGTTAAATGCTTAAAAAATAAATAAAATCATAACTATAATACTATTTCTTCTTTCAAATGTTTAATACTTGAAAAAGTATTCATTGTGGGTTACCTACAATGCGAAGAGATGGCGCTGCCTTGCAGGCTAGGAAAATTTCGACACGGCTAATAGGGCCGTGGTAGCATAATGGTCATTGCATTCGCCCGGATAGCGAAGGATGCGGGTTCGAGTCCCGTCCGCTGCCTGGTCCGCGTGGATTTTATTATTATTCGTTAGGTATAATATGTTTTCTCCCACCCCATGTGATTTTAACCAATTAGGTAATAATAAGTCAATAATTTTTAGGTGCTGCAAGTTGTAAATGATGACTCAGAATTGCCCAACTTCTAGAAAGAGACATTAAGAAAAATTATGAAGCATCTTAATTTCAAATTTGCTACTCGAACACGCAAGAGCGTACTTATTGACAGACAAGATATCATATCATGGCGCCAGCGCTACCTGCGTTTAATTAAACAATATCGTAGGGAGGGAAGATACATATATTATCAAGACGAGACCTGGATCAACGCTGGTAAGTAGCAACTCTTAGTTTTCTATGTTTGATCCCCTTTTATTTAGCTGTCGAAACATATGATTATTTTTTGTTCTTTCAGGTCATACTTCAAAAATAAACCTGGAGTGGTGGAAGTATAAAATCTTCTCGGCAGGCATTTTAGACGATCTAACTACGGGATTAAAAAATCCCACAGGAAAGGGCAAACGACTCATAATCAGTCACATAGATGGAGAAGAAGGCTTCCTGGACGACGGACTTCTTATGTTTGAAGCAAAGAAAGGTACAGAAGATTACCATGATGAAATGAATGCAGTGTTTCGAGGAGTGGTTCGACGGCATTCTACCTAAACTCAAGCCGAATGCAGTAGTCGTAATGGACAACGCGCCCATCATATTATAGATGAAGTGACAGACAGATTTGTCATTAGTGTGACCGGAAGCGATAGTGATTCCGAAAATTATTGATAAAAAACTTTGTTATGACAATTTTGTGTAATTTTGGATGTACGTCCTTATACTTCCACTGAAACAGATCAATCCTTTACTAAAGTAATAATAATAGAATAAAAAAACATTACAACTTAATATTAAATCTCTAAAATAAAACCAAACTGATCACTCATTTATTGAATGATTCACTTACTCACTTAGCTACATCCCTATTTATTTTTCTTCAAAAAGCGGTAACCCACAAAACGTCATTTTACTGCAGCTAATAAAAAGTTCTACTTTAGATCCCTCACAACATTCGATTTTTGGGGATGTTTAACCGCTGCTCCCCACTAGCGGAACACTAGCAATTAAACGACGATACGTAACAGCGCTATATTTGGAAAATATTCACAATTATAAAATACAATTTGTACGGACGAAATTTTTATCTGAAGTCTATTTTTAGAATGACAATTAAAAATTCAACAGAAAATATCAAAAAGAACAATTATAAAACTTACTTTCTAATGTGCCAGTGCCTACGGAATGTCCATAGACACTGGCTGTATGGCGACATGGACCAACTTTTAAGCGGTGCAAAGTCGCCACACCACCCCCCTACTGAGTAAGGAAAAGCAAGGCACAAGAAAACAAAAAATAAACTACTACTTAAGTAAGAAAATCATCAAATTTCTTAAACCTAACGTGTCTTCCTGTCGACGGTTGGACAGGAACTTGCAGCTGACGTGCCGGTTGTGCGGCAGCACTAGGGTGTGAGTGACCCTTACAGTCGTCGGGTTCGGCGTCGATGTGAGCAGGCTTGACTCGGTCGATGCTGACGGTGGCTTCTCTCCCGTTGACAAGAATGGTAATAACCTTGTCCTTCTTCTCCAAAACGCGATGGAGCCCAGAGTACGGTGGTTGCAGAGATCTTTGGCAAGTATCATCGCGCAAGAACACGTGAGTTGCCGTGGCCATGTCTTTAAAGACGAAAGACGCAGGCTTGGTGTGACGTGATGCGGAAGTTGGCCGAATGCTGTCCATCTCGAATCTCAATTGGGAAACAGAATCTGCAAAGTTTGCGGAGTTCGCTGGAGTTGGAGGAGTAACGAGAAATTCACCAGGGAGGTGAAGTGTCTCACCGTATACCAGTTCGGCAGACGAAGACTTGATGTCTTCTTTGAACGCCGTCCGCATGCCGAGCAAAACAAGT